GCTTTTTTTTGTCAAATGGGCCTAGCTTTTCATGATTGCATCTTGTTGAGGACATCGTCTACGACCCAAATCAGCATCCATATATTATTTGCTCTATTTATTTATTTTATTTTGATTTTTATTACTTAAAAGTCACATTAAATCAAATAAATGACAAAAAATATCAAAGATTGGTTTTTTGATTCGATTTTTGTTAGAATCAAATCTAATTAAGCTGGCCTAATCAGATCAAATCGAATCAAGGAAAATTGAATGATTAGGATGGTTTTGTAAAGATATCATATAGAAAACAAATCACATTCAATCTCCATGATTCCAAAAGATTTAGGTTGTTTTTGTTACCCTAATTCATCACACTACATATACTGAACATAAACAATGCAAAAGGACAAGGATTACATTCGTGAGAACTGAAGAACAAAACCCAAATTTTGGCAAAAAAATGGTGGATTATTTTCTCACATAGAGGGTGATTCAAGACGTTCCAAAGCTGCTAATCGCTTCCTGGACATCTCCAGAAGCTAACACGATCGTTTGCAAGCCTTCCCAAGCCCGAAATCGCTCCTGGTAAACCCACGGTTTGCACATATCAGTTTGATTTTGATATTAGAATTTACGCATGATTAACCACTTTTAAGAATAGCATTGTATTTGTATCATCATTTGAAATGTTTTGGTTCAATTAGTTTTGAGTTTTGATGACTAGGGTTTAAGAAGCCATTTTAGGGCTTCTCTATACAGGTAAAATTAGGCCAAGAAAATGGTGCCATGATACTCATGAGATCAAGACGAGTTGATTGGTGTATTTAGAATTGATTTATCATGCGTTGTATGGATTTTTAAAGATTGCATGTTTATGGCTATGGAGTTCTGTCCGTAGGTATAAATCTGATACCTAAGACGATAGATAGGGAAGAAGACGGTGACTTATCACCACCCAACTGGTCCATTTGAATGATCCGCGTATTTTTTATTTTGTCCAGCTTATCCACTTTGTTTAATATATTATGATTTGATTTTATTATAATAACAACTAAACAATATGGCTCAGTGGTGAAGCGTGCATTGGATAGTGGAGAGGACCTGGGTTCGATCACAGGTCCCTGCGTTTTCTTTATTTTCTTAATGTTACTTTGTAGATTCCATGTGCACATGTTCCAGGCGCCTACTGTGTGGCCTCAAATTCCAGCCACTGGATCATTGCCAACACAGATCCAACGCTCAAACCAAAGAAGGACCATCGTGCATTCTCCAGGTGCACCAACACTAAATCAAGCGTGGGGAATGGGCTCATCCATAATGGGCCTGGACAAAATTCAGAAGCACACCACCCTGGATTGCTTATGCAGGCCCAAGTCTATTCTTTTTTATTTCAATTATTTTATTTATTTATTAATTATTTCTTTTTCAAATAACACCAAAAATCATGTTTTTTTATTTAATCAAAAAATCACAAAAACATCAAAAATAATTTTTTTTATAAAAATATTTTATTAATTAATTAGTTTATTTAAATTAGGGTAATTTAATTCTTTTTTATTATAATTTAAAATAATTAGAATTAGGGTTTAATTTTGTACATAACCTAGTTTTTTCTCAAAAAATAACCTAATATTTTCTCAACTAGATTTTTTAGGTGTTCCAATTATTTCTCACATTTTAATTCGCCACGCGCGCTTTTAGTTGTCTTTTTATTATTGTAACTGCTCCGAGTTTGTAATAGTAATTAGGGTTTTAAATTTCCGCATCTTTATTTACAGTTAACATGATTATGTATCTGCGAAAGCCTTGTAATAGCTAGGACTTTAATTTCTCGCATTTTTATTTCCGCTAACTATAAACTGCTTAGATGTATGTTAATAGGATTGTATGGAAAGAAAAATTGAAATTAAAACAGTAGAAAACCCTAAATATGCAAAGATCAATAAACTGAAAGAAACACACTAGCACATGCTCACTCCTAGGGTTTACTCCACTCATGTTGCCTTCGGTAAACGATCATGAAGTATAAGGAATGTTAGTGGTCGTCCTCCAGTCCCAAAAAATCTAAAATGACCCATTCGGATGTTGCCTAGGAAAAAGATCTTTAAGGCTTTAGGATGATTACTAAAATTTCCTAACATTGTTTTTGTGATCATACTTGTCCCTTCGAACGTCCCTTAAAATTCCAACGATGGTGCTACCTATTCCTTAATAATAGGATAGCGTTGTCTAAAGGAAAATGAACAGACTTTTTTCGAGTAGGTAGATTAGTTCCTAGGTACTTTCTCAAACAAAAATTTTCACACAAACACTTTTCAAAATAATTTTCAAAACAACTTCGTCACACTCTTGAGGACCGATACAAGGGGTATCACGAAGTAAAACTTTTCAAAACAAGCACACACAAGCAATTTTAAAAATGAGCAAAGTACCTAAGAGCCCATGGAAAACCATTGATAGAAAGGGTATTAACACCTTCCCTTTCTATAATCTACTCCCGTACTCAGAAACATCTCGAAAAAAGGTTTTTTCTGTTCTTTTTCCTTTTCCTTTGTTGGATAAAATAAAAGTCGCTGGCGACTCTTACTTACCGCGATATTTGGGAACAAAAAACGTAAACCAGTATAACAGTCGGTTCTGCCACCGTATCACAACTGTGGAGCTCAGATAAAACCTTCCTAGGTCAAACAACATTATCAAAGATCATGATCTTCACATTATGCTCATGACGGTTGAACAGTAATAGTGTGTTACTCTGTTCAAGGAACTTGATGTCCAATCATTTTGTCTAGAACGTGAAAGATCTCCATTGGTGTGATAAAACAATGGCCCAACTATCACTCACTATATGATAGCTCTGATCTACTCGGTTTTAACATCGATTCAAATCTAATAACTCGCTTCTTAAGAAGATTCTGGGCTAGGGATGTCTATTTGCATCTGTTAACAGGGATATCTGTGGAGATTATCTATTCGGAGATCTGGGAAATACCCTTCGTCCCCGTAAATTCCCCAAATTCGACCATATTGATTAACTTTGTCTAAAGTAACTTGAATTATATCTTTTGTTGGGTGATTGCTTTGATATTTTGGATTATCATCAATTCTATTTTGCTATTCATTTTGGGATATTTATTAGCATTTTATTTTGGATATTTGACAATTTTAATTTTCTATTTTTTCTATGCATGGTAGAAAGAAATAAAATTAGCAACTGCAATAGCTTTTGTATTTTTCGTTATGGGTGCAATATGTGTTTTTATTTTTAAAATAATAAATATGAAAAATATATGTTTTAAAAAAAATTAAAAAAAAAATGAAATACTAATGTGATAGTTTTGATCGAAAAAAATAAAAAAAATTTAAGATTTGATGTTTGTGGATATCCATAGAGACTATGGGGATCCGTGGGGATGGGGGAAATATCCACCGTGACAGAGAACGGGGGACGGGGAACAAATTTAGGGATGGAGCGGAAAACGAGAAAGCATCCTCCGCACATTCCCTTTCCCGTTGACATCCCTATTCTTGACTCGATCAATCATGGTTGAACAAACTTCACCAAAGTTGATGTAAAGCAAATTATAGGAACGCCGACTATGTACTCGAATTGCAGCACATTGCGTACACCATCACTTACATGGCCGGGAGCGACTCGAGGAGTCTCGGTTTGTGTTCCATTGATCTTCCTGGCAACCCGGTCAGAGCGATAGTTCTTATACAATCAGAGTCTCTCAAGGCGACAGTCGTTTTGCCGTTTGCTAGCACCAACGTTGTCGCCCTTGTCATTTTTCGGCAACAACACAAATATCAGCAGATCGAATCCCTGGCGGAATGGTATCTGATCATAATCCACAAAGGATCTTCAAATCGGCTAGGTTGAAGCACCGATGCCGCAACTCTCATACTATAATGGAGATCTCAGGGAAGGAAGAATCTTAACTCAAAGGATTCATGGAAGAAGACTCCGATTTTCTTGCTTATTTTCACATGTTAAGCAGCGGAAGGAGACGCCCGCAGCGTCTCTACTACGTTCATCATAATGAGTCAGTTGCATGTGATATGGCAACTGGGAGTTCTTGCAAAATTGGTTATCTTTGTTTCTTTAATATATCTTAACAATATTTTGCATAGTAAGTTGTAGAATGACATGATGTTTACTATGGCAAGACGCGTCGCTGGCGCAATTGCTAATATAAAAGAATTCAAGACCAATAACATGAACCGATAAAGACCAAGAAACTTTCACAGTTCTGATACCTCCATTAAAAGATAAGTGGTTCTTCATAATTCCTGTTTAATTCATCGTTATGGTTATTGAATGCTTGGCACATTATCTGTACACGTTTCTCTCTTATTGGAATGGACTATGTCTTTTAAAAATACATCAAACACATGAAAAGAAACTGAAATCTTAGACAGTGGTTACCGTTATAATTTATCAATGGTCCGATAGCTATAACGGTTACAAATAAAAATTCATGATAATGATGAAAAGTGGTGTTTCAGGGACGATATTATGATCACAAACTGAATTGGTACACAACTTAGAGACATTTCGAACACAAATTATGTTTATCATCTTGCGCGTTAGACAATATTTTTGAGCTTTAGCTTACCATTTCATCCCTAAACCTGTTTTCATCATAATTGATAAATTTATCCAATAAATCAGAATCGTTCTCAAACAACTTTAATATCTGTGTGAAGACCTCAATTTCATTGCCACTCTTGAGAGCAAATGTAGTAGTAATCCTATTCACCAAGGATTCCAATTATGGAGGACAGTTAACATTCCAACTCATAGCAGATTTAAGCGAGACGTTGGGTTTCCTAACGGATTTAAATGTGTCATACGATGTTGACATCCGATTACCTCTACTACTTGTTCTCCCTGTTGAACCCATGATCAATTTAGTCCCTAAATTTCTTTTCTTCCTCCTAAGACATTGACAATTTTTCTCGTATATGTCCACATAAATGCATTTCAACAAATGGAAATGCAAGATCACATGTTTTTAATCAGCCATAAAGCATGATATCTTGTTCCTCTGCAAATTTATGTCATTTGAGAATTAGAATAAAGATGTGCGATGAAAAGCCATGCATTAAAATTTACTACGCAACTTACATTATCAAAATTCTTTTTTCCTAGCACAAAAGTACCCTCTTTAGCATCAAACGTCAGACCCAACATCCCATGTCGCATTACCCGATAATACAATTCAAATTTGCACGAGAAATATGTTAATACACCACAAACCTACCAAGAAATACAAATTATATACAATTGAAGAGATATGTATTTTTCATGTATAATAATAAAAGCAAATTATAAACCCACAAAAGAAATACTTATACCTCAGCCTCATTCAGTTCAATATCATCCTCTTTCACTTTATTCATTTCTGCCACTACTCCTCTAGCTTCCCAATAAGTAATATTCTCTTTAGTCATTTGGTATCCTACTTTAGCAGCCAGCTGAAAAATAGGAGCTATGTGTGGATTATTCAAATCAATCTCTTCAATGACCCTCTCAACATTTGACTTGGAAAACACCTTCAAAATAAAATAATTTGATTATGATTAATAATGATTGTGTTTGAACGCATATCTTACTTCAAACTACCCTTCGACTGACTCTTCTTCTATCACTTGTGTGTCTTGTGTGTCACTGTAGTAGGGGTATTCCCAGTAAAGCTTTTCTATTTCTTGGCTCTGTGAAGAGTATATTTCAGGTTGTTAAATAGTTAGTTCAACAATTAAACCCAAACTACAAATATAACTACTCTATAAATGGTACTTACATGAAAAGGCTCTGTCATCTTTTCAAGTCGCGACTATGCAAAAGAGATTACAAGTTAAGGAAATAAGACATCAAAATTAAATCATTAAGTAGAAAATTGAATCATTACCTTAAATGGTCGTTCGGTCGTAGAATTAGCGACTTAAACTTCATTGACTTCTTCTCGACTACGTTTCTGAGCTTTCTTTGTTTCCTCTTCTGCACTTGGAAAAGTATTGGATCCACAAGACTCAGACATATTTTCCTATTAAATAAGTATATTACATATAGAAGTTTTACCAGTATAAAAACTTCACATACCAAAATCAAAATCAAAATTCATTGCATTCATCGTGGATATATAATACCTTTAAAATATCGGATGAACCATCACCATAACATCTTTGATTAAATAATTCAACATCTACGCAACAAAATTCTTAATAACATCCTTATCATCATTAAAGCAACTTCAAACCAACAAATACTTAATAATAATCAACTTAAAGTTCAACGACGGAATAATCAACAATCAAAAGCAAAAAGCGTTCAACCCCCCGAGTGTTACATATCAGAGCAATGACACCGACTCGAACTACTGAAGGTATACAACCTTCACTCTTGATTACCTGCACGTTACCAACATAAGGGCAACATACAAACTGAAAGGGTGAGATATCTAACAATATAATAAAGCACATGATAATTAATATATTAAATTAGATCACATAACATCACCACTTTTCATCTCATACTCAACAATAATAATACTTTTCAACTGCACTGATTCTTTGCAATGGAAGAAAATAGATTCTTTGTTTCCAAATTTTGGCAAAGAGTCGAGAAACCTTAGACTTGGACTTGCTACTGATGGAATGAATCCGTTTGGTAATCTGAGTACTAACCATAGTTCTTGGTATGTTCTCTTGATGATTTACAACCTATCTCTTAGGCTGTGCATGAAGCGTAAATATATTATGTTATCGATGATGATATCGGGCCCAAAACAACCAGGAAATGACATAGACGTTTATCTAAGTCCACTGATTGATGATTTAAGAGTGCTGTGGGAGGAAGGGGTGGATATTTTTGATGTATATTCTGGTGAACAGTTCAATATGCGTGCCATGTTGTTTTGCACCATCAATGATTTTCCGGCGTATGATAATTTGTCTGGGTATAAAGTTAAAGGGAATAATGCGTGTCCTATATGTGAAAAAGATACTTGTTACCATCAGCTTGAAAAAGGAAAGAAGACCGTTTATCTCAGGCATCGAAAATTTCTAAAACGTTATCATCCATATCGTAGATTGCAAAAAGCTTTCAATGGGGAACAAGAGCATGGTGTTGCTCCAAAGCCCTTGTCTGGAGAGGAAGTTTATCAGCGACAACAGGGACTTGATGTTGTCTTTGGAAAGTACCAAAAACGATCTAATGTGAAAAATGTATGGAAAAAGAGATCGATTTTCTTCGATCTTCCATATTGGTCTAGTCTTGATGTAAGACATTGTATTGATGTGATGTACGTGGAGAAAAATGTATGCGATAGTGTAATCGGAACACTTCTCAACATTCAAGGCAAGACAAAAGATGGTATTAATGCTCGTCTGGATTTGGGTTTGATGGGTATACGAGAAGAGTTAACTCCATAATATATAGGTAACAATACATATTTGCCTCCTGCCTGCTACACTTTGTCTAAAAAAGAGAAAACAAGTTTTTGTGAGTGTTTACAAAGTATCAAAGTGCCGCATGGTTACTCATCAAATGTCAAGAGGCTTGTATCAGTTAAAGATTTTAAATTAGTTGGCTTAAAATCTCACGACTGTCATGTCTTAATGCAACAACTACTACCATTGGCTATTCGTGGGATATTGCCTAACAACGTAAGGAAGACTATAACTAGGTTGTGCTTATTTTTCAATGCAATTTGTTGTAAAACCATTGATCCACTAAAGTTAGACGATTTGGAAAATGAGGCTGCAGTTATCTTGTGCCAATTAGAGATGTATTTTCCTCCTTCATTTTTTGACATTATGGTTCACTTGATTGTTCATCTAGTAAGGGAGATTAGATTATGTGGTCCCGTTTTTTTACGGTGGATGTATCCAATAGAGCGATACATGAAGATTCTAAAAGGGTATACAAAAAACCCACACCATCCGGAAGCATCGATTATTGAGAGGTACATTGCAGAAGAAGCAATTGAGTTTTGTTCTAACTATTTGTCAGGAGTGGATGTTGTAGGGGTTCCCAAGTCTCGTCATGATGGAAGATATGAGGGTGTGGGTACACAAGGTTTAAAAGTTAAGAGCTTAAGTATTGATGTGGTTGTTCAAGCGCATTTGTATATATTGAATAACATAGATGAAGTTCAACCTTACTTATCTGCTCACAAAATCATCATAAAGAAAAAGTACCCCAAGATGAATGAAAGAGGATTGTTAAAAGAGCATAATAAGAGTTTCTCTGAGTGGTTTAAAGAAAGAATTGCTAATGAAGATAGTGTTTCTAATACAAATAAGTGGTTTTCTTACGGGCCTAAATGTAACATAATAACTTGGAGTGGATATGATATTAATAAAACCTCTTTTTATACAAAGTCAAAGGATGACCGTAGTACCACGCAAAATAGTGGGGTAATGATTGTGGTCGAGTCCATGCACTTCTCTAGTGCTAAAGATAAAAACCCAGTTATGGCATCTACACCGTACTTTGGGGTGATTGAAGAGATTTGGGAAGTTAATTATGTTGTGTTTAAAGTTCCTGTATTTAAATGCAAATGGATTGATATCAACAATGGTGTCAGAATCGATGAATTTGGAGTTACACTGGTTGATCTTAGCAAGTTATCTTATGCGAACGAACCATTCATCATGGCATCTCAAGAAAAACAAGTATTTTATGTCACAGATCCTTCTAATAAAAAGTGGCCAGTGGTCTTACAAGGAAAGGTCCATGATAGTGATGAAAATCATCATGAGAATCTTGATATTTCTGAAACTCATCCTTTCTCAACAAATGTGACTACATTCATTGAAGAAAATGAAGGGGATGATGTGCATGCTATTCGCATAGACCATGAAGAAGGGATATGGGAGGACTAGTAAGATTTTTTGTATAAGTTAATTCCACGTTACTTTACTTTCTAATTGTTTTTATTTTGTGCTTAATTTTATTTCTAATTGTTTTTATTTTGTGCTTAATTTTATTTCTAATTGTTTTTATTTTGTGCTTAATTTTATTTCTAATTGTTTTTATTTTGTGCTTAATATTATTTCTAATTATTTTTGTTTTGTGTAAACAGATACATGGGTGATTCAAACCCCAATAAAAGAAGAGTTAGAGGTCCCACTTTAATGACACAAATTGACAAAATTCATCAAACGGGTGAAAAGATAAAGGTCGAGTTTAATGCAAGAACCTATGAATGTATTGGTGTTGGTAAAAATGCTACACATTTCAAGAGTTATATAGCATCTCTTGCTCGACAGTATTGTAGTATTGTGAAAAATGATTGGAAAGAAGTAGATGAAGGCGTAAAAGATGCTATTTGGACTGATATTCAGGTATTTTAAATACAATAGTTTATTATATTTTACAATCATATACTAATTAACAACATATGACATATACTATATTTGTAGGCTCATTTTACTATTCCAGAATGTAAAGATCCAAAGAAGGATAGGTTGAAGAAAGAATGGATTAAATATGCGGGAGAGCGATGGAGAGGTTTTAAGACACAACTCACAGATAGATATATTCATCATCCCATAGAAAATGATCCTCCTCCATATGTCAAGTATAACTTTATTACAGAAGACGCATGGAAAGAGTTTCTCAAGATTCGAGATACCCCTGAATTTAAGGTTAGTAGGAGTTATATTTTTTTTTGTGCATAACATTTTTATTATATTTAGTGATTAATTACTTGTTTGAGTTTATAATAGGAAAAAAGTCAGAAGGGTAAGGATAATGTGGCCAAGAATGTATACCCATGCGTATTGTCTCGTGGAGGGTATCGCTTACTTGAGGAGAAAATTATGAAAGAAAAGTCATCATCGAGAGATAATTCCACATTAGATGATAATGATAGTCCATCTCCACCATCACGCCATGAGTTATGGAAGAGAGCACGACAAAAGAAAGGAGGAGAATACACATCAAAATCTACACAAGAGGTTACTGAAAAAATTGTAAGTAAACAACGAAAAATTATTCAAGTATCATTATATTTGTGATTGATTAATTGATGTTTTTGCATTTTGTAGGATTCTCTAGTTCAAGAAGCTGAAAAAGGTGCAATTGTTCCGGATGGACGTAACGATATCTTATCATTAGCCATTGAAACATCTGAGCATGGAGGTCTTGTTCGTAGTGTTGGAAAACACCATAAACAAAGCACTTACTTTGGAAGATCACGTCAACATATCGACGTAAATGAACAACTTGTAATATTGGAAACAAAACTTAGAGCTGAACTTGAAGAAAAGTTGGTTGAAGAGCGTAAGATGTTTCAACAATCATTAATGGAGACACTTAAGTCCATGGGTTTATCATAAAGCACAGGTGATAATAAATGCATTGAAAAATTGGAAATTATCGATGGAAGCGGAAAAGGAAGTTGTTCAGCTGCAAAGGGAAGCACAAAAGAGAGCACAAAAGACGTGGAAGTTGATGATGTTCAGAGATTGTTACTCATGGTTTTGAAAATGGATGATAACCATTTGGAAATACAATTAAGTCATTGTGCGGGTGTCTCTAATTTCTATGTTTCAGCTAAATGTATCAGAGAGTTATTGGTGGGTTTAGGTCATTGGCCTGACGTGTCTATTCTGCAAATTTGGTGCACGTAAGTACATTTTATTGTTTTATTAAAGTCAATTTATATTAATATGTCATATCTCTCATCACTTTGATTGTAATGTTTATTTTAAAATTATTCAGGTATATTCATCGTGTTTGTCTTGAGAATTCCATTTCAGAATTATATGGATTTATGGATCCTGCTAGGTGTATTTATAATGATAGTGTAGCGAAATCTCAAGAAGATGTTAAAAATTACGTACTACAAAAGTTACGTGATGAAAACAGAGTGTGCCACTTACTACCATTAATTCATGGGTAAGTATTTATATATAATTGTGTTTTATATTATTTAATTTTGATAACATATATATTTTATGTGACTTTTCTGTTTCCACACACACGTACAGGAGACATTGGCAATTAATAGTCATGTGTCCAAGAGACAAT